ATGAACAAAAAGTATCAATTAATCTTAGGGATAATTTCAGAAACCTCCCCTGAGGTTTCTGACTATTGCAGGAAGCTCCTTTTTAGTTTAAAAAATTATACCTACCTCCCTATGATTAGCATTTCAGTTACAATATAGACCCAAAATGCTAACTTTCTCCTCAAAAAACCTAAAATACCCCTTTGTTACTTAGAAGGGGGAAAAATAAACTAATAAATTTCTTTCACATTGCAACTATTGTAAATGACATAACCACCACTTTAACGAACTCAATAAACCACTTCACCATAATTCCCATATTTTTACAATTTTGACATCTTACTATTGCCGCCCCAAACCTTCCCATGCAAATCAACTGTGCCAATTAAAGTCTGCATTCAACCTAATATTTAGGCTCTTTTTTTTTTTTTTTGCCTAAATTCAATGTTTGAATTGACCAATGTCACTATTCAACCTTGTTGTTACTAAAATAATGTAACCTACTAAGAATATCAACACGGAGCAACCAAAAACAACACTAGAGACCACATCCCATGTCTCTAGGCAAATCTAATTATAGTTTTTATATCTCAAAAATCTTTTTTACACAATTGGTATAATATCATAACCTTCTTTAATCCACATTCCCTTTTTAGCTATCATTTTTATTTTCTTGTGTGTACTCTATATCACCGCCATCTTTTTCACCTTCATTTAGTTTGACAACAAATATGATCCGGCAACTTGTCATTGTGTAATTTCAATTCAATAATACTTATATAAAAAAAAAGAGTGTGTGTCTATTTGTGAAAAAAAAGGTGTAGGAGAAAGAAGGTAAGAGAAGGAGTCGGAGAAATAGAACAAGAGTTTAGTTTGTGTGGCAGTAGTTATTTTAAAATAAAAGACTAGTTATAATTGTAGAGTTTTTTTGTTTGTAGAAATTATTTATAAGTGAAGGATATTATAGTCATTTTACTACATGAAACGAGGTTAGTGTAATTATTTAAACCTAAAGGGAGGTGAGTGAAATTGTCAAAAACCTCAAAAGAGGTTTCTGAAATTATCCCTTAATCTTATATACACTAACATCTTTAGTTACATGCCATATGTGTAAAAAATTTAAATTTAAATTCAAATTCAAATTAAATGACATGAATCAAAGGATGTTAGTGTATGCGAAATTAATTTTAAACATATTAAAAAACCTTTGTGTTGGGAACTTTAATTCCCTGGAATTTTATGCAGATTAAGCTCTTAAAGTCCAATATTTCTCTGATCATTGAAAATTTGCAGTGTTATAAATCTTCAGAAGATTTTAGAAGCTAAAATAACTTTCATATCTAATCAGAGTTAGTTGCTTTGATGTGCCATTTGCCACTAGATTGGATGAAAGGTAAGGGCATATGCAAATTAAAGTACTTACCTTAATTTAAAAGTCACGCATTCTTCTATTTGCATTTAATTCCATCATTTAATTTCAACTTAATCACAGTTAAGGGAAAAAAATCGTTTCAACTTTATATTATAAAATATTTAAGAAATCACCATGAGGATTGAGAGAATCTGATATTTTTTTGGGCCTACTAGGTCAATTGGGGGAGGGTGGCAGGAGATAGGGAAAAGGAGGCTAGAGACGAAAATTAGAGGGTGGCGGAGGGCGAGGAGCTGGAGGAGTTCACTACTATTGTTTAAAACCCATCAAAAATGCTTCTAAAACACCACGTTATATGTTTTAAGAGTTTACCTGCAAAAAATGATTTAAAATTATGACATTGTTAAGTGATAAACACAAACAGAAGAAATTCCTAAAATTCTTAAAATTAGATGAAATTCCTAAAATGAAGGAGGAGTGCTATCTTTTAATTTATTTTTGTAGCTTAAGTCGTATTCTTGCTTAGTATAGAATTTTCCTATATTTTAATACAACACACATCTACAATTTAAATTTCCATCGAAATGGACCTTGTAGAATTGAAGTTAAAAGTGTGCTTATGATTACTACTTTCTAATACTATACTATTCAATACATGTAAACAATTAGCTTCATTTTTCAAATTCATCCGTTGTATACTTGGCTCACAATCTGAATGACTAAAATTTAGAAAGCCACGCGTACAGCTTAAGTTGGACGAGAGGCCCTGGCGCCACCCATATAATCCCTAAGCTAGATGCCCACCTTATTCCACTGTATATTTCTGTTGGCAATTTCTGGAAATAATTCAAGACTGAGGACTTTCGCTTTGAATATTTTTTGGCGAAAATTGAAAATTGAAAATTAGTAACAATTTAAAATATGGGTTCAAAGCCGAGATCTTTTCCTTTGGATTTTGGGTGGTGAAAATTGAAAGTTAAAGAAATTTAAAATTGAGGTAGGTACTGCATGTGAGACGATGTGAGTAGTAGCCACGGGGGAAGCCAGGTACGTCTATGGATATGGTAAATATATGCAAATATGGTTACTCTAACATTCATCATATTTAACCGAGCAATTCCTACAAGAAAAATAAAAACCAAAAAAGAGAAAACAAACCTAGCAATTGCATGGATATAGTTCAAAGAAAGTATCTAGTTTTCGATGTTTACCTTTTGCTGGATTAGCTAGGAGACTTCATAGCTCAGGTCAGGCTAATCACTTGTTTCATCTTAGATCCTGAGTCATATGAAAATAGAAGGGATACCTTTAAGAATTAGCATTAAGATATTTAAACCCATAAAGCAATATACTTTTCGTGTTATTGATAAGAATTTAATAAAAAAAAGGAGTTTTTTTCCTTTTTCTTTTGTTATTGATGTATTTATTTTATCAGGAGGGCCTGATCACTCAGCCTCTAGTTGCGGTCCCAGCCTCGTCGGCTGGTTAGGTATGAGATATCTAGTGGCAAAAAGATAGGAGATTAGGCTGAATTAAATGGCTAAACTTGAGAAATGAATACCTTTTTAACCCTTTTCCATTCCCTCCGTTTCTTAAATCTCACTTTTCCCTACTGAAATTTTTTTTTTAAAAAAATAGATGTTGTTTTATGAAGAGTATTTAATCTATAGGGGACAACTTGATGTCTAGTAACTGTTAAAGATGCATTTCAGATCTTTTAAAAACGTTCAAATGCATGCCATTTGTTTTGATTCCGAAGCAATTTTTAGGTCTCTTTTTCTTTTCAGGGAAAGGAATTGAATAGTATAAGAAAAAGGCAAAGGCATAATTGGTACCAAAGGCAAGTTGCTAGTAATTTCTAAATTTCCAAACCACCAATAATCCAATCTTTCCCCATCCCTTTCTCCCACATCGGTTCAGTAGAGAGTCGAGTGAGAGTGTTTAAGATCCATTGAGGTCCCTTCTAGTTAGCAATTGCCTGGAAGTTGGACTTTAGTGGGTCCCCCTTAGATAATTTCTCTCAACGCTTTGTTGAAAAGAAACAAAAGTCACAGTGAGGGTTAATAGCTGGCTTAAGTTGAGTGTTTCCCCATCCCTTTCTCCCACATCGGTTCAATAGAGAGTCGAGTGAGAGTGTTTAAGGTCTATTGAGGTCCCTTCTAGTCAGCAATTGCCTCGAAGTTGGACTTTAGTGGGTCCCCCTTAAATAATTTCTCTCAACGCTTTGTTGAAAAAAAATAGGCCAATCTGCCTCAAACAGTGAAAAGTCACTGGTAAATTGGTAAAATGAATACTAGTCATATCCAGCTCAATACGAATTTGAAATGCTCCCTATAATGTAAAAGCTTGGATGATCTCATCAAAGTAGGAAATACTAATAATTTTGGTGTAGATTCACTACCAACATACTAGAACAAATTAACCACTTAACTTGCTAAATTGTACTTAAGATAACAATAGTAGTAATAACTGATGAAAATGTAAAAAATATAGAAACTTAAACAGGAGTAAAGAAATTGCAACTTACAATTGAGTACTTGTAAAAATGTCAATTAGTAAGCATTAACCGTATATTAAGCAGCCAGCTAGTAAACTTTCGGCAATTTATAAATAGCAATGCCAATACCGTGGATGCAAGTTCCATTTCCCATAAGTTTGGCCTTTGGTACAATTGGATTAGAAAATGTTGTAACAAAAAGTTAAATAGGATGTAGCTGAATTGAGAAATGATGCAACAAAATATGAAATTACCAATTTACCCACAAATGGGGCAAAATGGAACTTCATAAAAAAAAAAAAGTTACTGCAATAAATTGACGGTGGTTCTGTAAGAGCTTCCATGGATTGTGCCAGGTCAAATGGGAAAACAGGTAAAACTTCAAATTTTCTTGCAATTAGTTCTTCACAAATTGCCCACAATTTTGTTGTAAAACATATACATAGATCCGCACCTTTGTTACATTTTCGTGTGTCATGAAACTTTGATTTGACTGTCTAATTTTTCCATGATATCAATGGTTTATAATGGCGTGTAAACGCTGAATTAGTAATTGTAAACAAGAAGCAACTTTCCTTTAATATGCAAATGATGTATTTGTACATCAATCCATCCCACAAGGTTACTATACTCTAAAGAAACCGAGCAAGACGAAAAGCACTGTCATACGATAATACTTGCATCCATCAACAATTTTTTTTTTTTTAACTGCATATCTACAAAATGCTGTTCGGTGCATATATGAACAAGTTATTAGTTGGAACTGTAAAGAACTTTTAATTACTTTTGAGAAATGTGGCTACTTTGAAATTGACTTTTACTTTGATTTTGAACTGTTTTGGCTATCTCGTGATCAATTTTCCATTCCTTTTGTTTTCTCAAGCCTTTTAGTTGGATAATAGTCCACTCATTTTCGTCCAATCAGTAACTACTGACTTTCTCCAGAAAAATATATAGTTATTACTTGAAATTAAAAAAAGAAGTAGAACAGTCATATCCTTTTCTAGAAAAAGCCCATGTATATAGGTTATTTACGACAATCAAGGAAAAAGGAGCTTATAGTCCCAACAAAAAACAAAATAAAATAAGCCACTTTATTCTGTATCTGGTAGTTGGGGATGGAAAAGATGTGGGAAGAGGTGGGAGGATATAAAATTAAAAAAAAAAAAAAGTACAAGAACAAGCCATCGCAAAGGCAACAGAACGATACAATTGGATACAAACACAACAATATTGAAGCGTCAAATTAAAGTCCTCCTCCAAAGCAGGCAGCTCCGTCAATAGTTATTCTTTTAGAGAAAAAGAAAAAAGCAGGATTATCGAACTGCATGGCTGATCACGTGATTTCTTTTCGAAGATTTTCTGGACAGGCAGTTCTCACTTTGGAGGGTTTCAATAAAATGACAAACTCAAACAAATGAACAGTAAGACACTAGACATATTCTTATAACGTGCGCTTTTAGAGGACATAGTTCAAAGAAATCAGTAGGAATAAGGCGGTGCAATGGCTAATGGAAATGACTTGTAATGCAAGGTGGCCGGGTGACGGTAACTAATAATAAGGAAGTGGTTCACTTGTATGTTGGTGGTGGTGGAGATGAATAATAGCTGTAAGGTGGGGGAGGTGGTGAAGTGTACTGGTATGGTGGAGGTGGCGGTGAAGTATACATATATGGTGGTGGTGGAGGTGAATAGTAGACATATGGTGGAGGTGGGGGAGAGGTGTACTTGTAAGGGGGTGGTGGGGGTGAATAATAGACGTATGGTGGAGGTGGGGGCGAAGAATAGACGTACGGTGGAGGTGGTGGAGAGGAGTACTTGTAAGGTGGTGGAGGCGGTGACATGTAAACATATGGTGGAGGTGGTGGAGGTGAATTGTAAACATAAGGTGGCGGTGGTGGTGATGAGTAGACATAAGGTGGGGATGGATAGTAATATGTTGGTGGCATGTACATATAGGGCGGTGGTTTGTACTCGTAGGAAGGAGGTGGAGGAGAAGCATAGTCCACAGGTGGCCAAACATTGTAAGCATTGACATGAAGAGCTAATATGGAGACAAGTGCTAACAAATGCCATAATGATGCTTTGAGGAGAGCCATGTCTCCTAAGTGGTAGGAATAGTTATGAATTTTGATCAGCTACAAGTTTGCTTGATTTCCAAGAAGTTTTGGAGACTTAAAAGGAGTGAAAACATCAGATGAGGTTCACTTGATGAGAAGATGATTTGCTTTTTCCCGTTCATATAAACAACTCAAGTCAACCTTATGAACAGTATTACTTCCTGGCGTCCTACAATTTCTACTACGCATTATTCTTTTATCAAGGTTCACACGACAGGTATATATCGTTAGGTAAGATTGGAGGCAAGAATTAGTCAGTTTAATCAGCAATTAGAAGAGAATATTCAACTTGGCAATTGGTTAATTCAATACATAAATTATTTTTACTCTGAATACTCTCTCAGCCTAAATTTTACGTTTTTAAAGTGTTCTTCAATATTCTTTACCAGTAAAATCTCTTATGTGGGAGTAGTTTCTCTAAAAATTGATTGAGAAATTTGATTGACGAGTAAACCATTGAAAGGAAATCCTATTACATTTGCACTTTGTAACTTTAAAATCTTAAGTTTAAATATCTAAATTTTGTGCTCAAAAAGTAGCTCTCATTGCTATTAAAAATCAGAAAATACAGCAAGCTTAGTACGAATGGACTATTTAATTTTTCGATGACAGATGCTGTGATCTTGAGAATTAGAAATAATTCTCAACTGCTATTAAAAAAAAATAGGGCAAATTACATTTTACCCCCCTGTGGTTTACCCTTTTTTACATAACCCCCCTATGGTTTCAAAAGTTATACATAAGCCCCTCATGGTTTGGATTAAAGTGTCAAAGTGACGGAAATAGTCACTCGTAACGGAACTTCTAAAAATGTCGAAATTACCCTTATAAATACATGACACATTAACCCCATATGCTTTTTATATTTTATCAAATAACCCTCTTATAGTTTAGTACTTTACCATATAACCCTCTTATGATTTTTAAAATATACACAACCCCCCTTGGTTAATAAATAATTTTCAACTTTACATAAGGGTAATTTTGACATTTTACGTGACGCCGTTACGAATGATCATTTCCGTCACTTTGACACTTTAATCCAAATCATAAGAGGGTTATGTATAGCTTTTAAAACCATTGGGGGGTTATGTGGAAAAACGCTAAACCACAAGGGGGTAAAGTGGAATTTACCCAAAAAAAAGTATCATTATCTTATCTCTATCCCTACCTTCTAGGTGTTTCTACCCTAATTTGTAACTACTTTTTTGAATATTTAAAATCTTTCATCTAACTACTATTCTGAGTTTTTTATGCTTTTAGAGAGTGCAATCTAGGGTAAATTATAACTCAAGCGACTGATTCTACCTTTGAGGATGTGGCCTGTCTTTGGTAAATAACTAACCCCGGTGACTTATTCTACCTGAGGACTTGAGCTGTTTGAGATGAACTTGAAAACTAACCGAAAATGAAAGGCTTCAAAAGTTGGAAATTTATGCAAAACAAATGAAAGTCAGTATTTCATCTGTCAGCAACTTTTGAATCTTCCCCCATTGTGACATGAGAAAGACGCGTAGTTTCTTGCAGTCTGTAGCAAAATCTACCATATTTTAAAGATTAGTTAGTAGAAATAAGTCTTCCAAAGAATACATATTTATTTTGACCATATTAACCACTATCCATTTGTCATACTCTACATGAATTTGAAGTGGTTTTGCTTGCAGATTCGCTATGTAATTGGATCACTTCTTCTGAGATATGCATTCTTAATTCCTTCTGTCTTATCATAGGTTGTTATTATATCATTGGAAGTGTTCAACGAGAAGTTATGTAGCCCTATTATATGAAGCATCAGTTTTCTGCATGTAAACTGGAGTAATAATTACAGTATCAACTAGTACTACTAAAACCTATATGTTTACAATAATAGTTAAGCAGGACAAACTATAGCTTCATTAAAATTCCAATCTAAGCTCAGCTCTCAATTGCTCTTCGCCACCCTGCAACTAGTTGCTGTATCACATTTTCTGGAGTGGAATATCTACCTTTGAATTGCCTTTGATTCCTCTCCAACCATATATTGTTCTGTATAAAGTTACTCTATAAGCCGTAGTAACAAAGTATTGTTCTGTATAAAGTTACACCGCCAAGAAACTTCATCTCTCCAACCATATATACCTCTATAGATAGAACAAAACTGCTGAATTCATTCCCATACATAAGCTGAGCCCGGATAAGTCAGAAATAAACTAAAAAACTTGGGTCTGTTTGCAGCCCTAGGTAGAATCATGTTAGTATTCAGCTTTTTATGCCAAATCTTAAAAATCTAACAAGGGAATTTTTTTTTTGAGCCCTAACAAAACTGATCTTAACAAGGGAGATTGGAAGAACAAACCTTGAAATTCTTCAACTCTATTAACCTGTTTTTCTTGTCTATTCTGTATTTGATAAAAAAACCTGATTTTACTGAAACATGAGAAACACAACCAGCATTATGGTGAAAAGTAACTTTGAAACCTATGAATTGAAAGTATAAGTGTCTAATTCATTTGTTGCTAGCCAACTAGAAAACACCACGTGTGTTGCACATTATAATAAAATTTAGCACTGACTTGTATCTATTTAGTTAATACAAATTGATTAATTAACAGACTAATTTTGAGAACCAAAATATTTTCTGGCTTTTAGCAAAGAAAAAGAAGTGTGCTTAGAAGCCGTACTAACACAATACACGTGTGGAGCAGTCATCTTAATTAGTTATATGCTTAATTAAACCTAAGGCAATATTTTGTCTTTAGATTACAATTAGGATTTTTATTGCTTCCTTATTATAGAGTAACATTCAACAAGCTTAGGTTTAAGCAACTGCTTATTTACATACTATTTTTCTTTCCAATCACTAAATCTGACACGTCTAGTTTTCTTGAATTGAGAATTAATAACTTACGGAAATGCAAAAGCGACAGGAACTTACAATAGTACAAAAATTCCAACTCACTTTGACTTATAAAAAAAAAATCAAATAGTAAGCATTAATAGGATGGTAACGAGAGTGAGTGCCTGCCCCACAGTGCATGAATGGGGTGGATTTTTATCTTTGATGGTAAAAATGATTTTGAGATTTGGAGTTTGATGATGGAAAGATTTTTTCGAGTTATTGGAATTTGGAATATTGTTGAGAAGGGATTCATACAATGTGTACAAGACACCAAATTATCAGATGATGCAATTAAAAAGAGGAATAGACAGTTAGATTATAAGGCATTCCACTATCTCAACACTCAAGTCCAATTACATGTAGCGGATAAATTCATACATGCAAAAACAATAAAGGAGGCTTGGAAATCTTTGATAAATTCCTATGGTAATGGTGGAAAAGAAATTTGTGATGAAGAAGAAGAAAAAGAATACTTTGATGAGTCAAAAGAAGAAGAAATTATAAAAGTTGCGAGTGCACATGAAGATGAAGAATTTATGATTCAAGAAGAAATTTCACATGTGGTTGAGGACAAAGGTGAAGTCATTGATGAAGTTAAAGATGTGCCTGAAGATCATGGCAACGTAGAAATTGTTAATTTTATCAAGATTGATAAATTTTATGAAAAGAAAAATCAAGTGATGGACTTGATTAAGATCAATTGTGAGCTGGACAAATTAATTGAACGTTGTGATACTGCTAGAGTTGATGCAATTGTTGGTGTGAAAAAAGTAAAGGAAAAACATGGTGATGTTAAAAGCATCGGTAGTGGCAACTATGATTTTGTGGTTTTGGGAGATTTTCTTGGTGACATGGATGAATTAAATTATGGAGTATCTAATGGAGTATGGGTGAACATGATTGAATTTTTTGACAAGAGTGATCAAATGAAGAAACCGTTTGAGAAGTATAAGTTTTGTCCACTATCGTGCGTGAAGATGAAATTGAAGATCAATTATAAGTTGGGGTTGAATGTTGTTTATACTGCGACTAAATTTTTCATGGAGATTTAAAGTCGATATGGCGTTAGAGATGACAACATCAAGAGCTTGGTTTAAAGGAGGCAATAAAGGAAATTAAACCAAGTTATTTTAGAATTTAGTTTCCTAATTCTTTTGTTGGTGTCTTATTTGTTTAGTTTCCACATTAGATTAGGAAATCTCAAGTTAGTCTTCAAGTAAATTTTGGTTTACAATTATAGTTGTTTTAGGAAATTTTTCAATTTATAAATACTATCAGTCTAGTAGATTGTTATTTGAAGAGTTGAGTTGAAGAGTTAAGTAGAATCTTGAAAGATACATTTGAGAGAAAGTTTCATAGTTGAGATTTGTGAGCTGTCGTGAGTGAAAGGCTATGAATTGATATTTGTTATTGTTGAGTTTTAAATTAAATAAATTATTGAGTATTTATTCTCCTCCTCCTCCCACATATTTTTATATGTGTTAAAATTGATTCCGCTGTGCACGTAATTTTTCATGCCAACAAATCTGTATTACATGATTATGCGTACTTACTCGAGTAATTGTAACGATTCACTTCATTTGCATAATGTACTCTTTTTTATAACTTTGTATAAAAACAGGTAGGGATCTACATCAAACCCCACTGTTTCTAAGTGGTTTCTTATTGGAAAAATGAAATTTAAGCCCGAATATAACTCGAAGAAAATTTGAAATATCATGAAAAACAAAAACTCTGTTTTTGCAAAACTTAGACGGCAGGTGAAAAGGAACAAATGACCTGTAGTTCACGGGCTGTAGTTTAATTTGCCTAAGATTCAATTTCCAGTAAATTGTTTTTGGTGACATTGCCCCATCCATTCCCCATTTTCTATACATCAAAAAAGTAATTGCAATTAATGAAATTGATTCTCTAAGAGCTTCCATAGACTGTGCCAGGTCAAATAGGAAAACAGGTAAAACGTCAAATTTGCTTGCAATTATTTGATTATTCACAAATTGCTTATAATTTTCTTGTAAAATATATCTGCACCTTTGTTACACTTTTGTGTGCCACAAAATATTGATTTGCCTGTCTTATTTTTCCATAATATCAACGTTTTATTGTTTCCATTAGCGTTTAAACGTTGAATTAGTAATTATAAATGTGAAGCAAATTTTATGTTAATATGCAAATGAATTATGATGTATGTGTACATCAATCCATCCCACAAGGTTACTATAGAATTAAGAAACCAAGCAACACGAAGATCACTGTCAAATGATATTACTTGCATCCACCAACAATTCTTTTAACTGTGTGTGTGTGTATATATATATATATATATACAATATTATTCGGTGCTTATATGAACACGTAATTAGTTGGAACTATAAAGATTTTAATTTCTTTTGAGAAATGTGGCTACTCTAAGTTTGACTTTTACTTTGATTTGAACCGTCTTGCTATCTCGTGATCAATTTTCCATACGTTTCGTTTTCTTAAGACCCAATGAGTAACTACTGACTTTCTCCAGAAAGATGTGTACTTATTGCTTGAGATTATAAAAGAAGTAGAATGGTCATCTTCTTTTCTAGAAAAAGCCCATGCATATACGCAATGCCACTATGCAGGAGCAGGTGAATCAACATGCTTATTTGAATGGAAAGCAGAGATAAACCAAAATCTCACACCTGAAATATAGGCAATCAAGTGTACCAAATAGTTCTCAAGCACCAATGCTTATTTAAGACAATCAGAGGAAGACGAACTTGGAATCCAACAGAAAATAAAATAAAATAAACCACTTTATTTCAAACATATATATGTAGTACAAGAACAGGCCATCATAAAGGCAACAAAACGATACAATTGGAATCACAACAATATTGAAGCACAAAATTAAAGTACTCCTCCAAAGCAGGTAGCTCTGCCTATAGTTATTCTTTTAGAGAAAAAGAAAAAAGCAGGATTATTGAACTGAATGGCTGATCACGGATTTCTTTTTCTAAGATTTTCTGGATAGGCAGTTATCACTTGGAGGGTTTCAGTAAAATGACAAACTCAAACAAATAACTTCAAGACACCAATAGGAAGACACTGGACATATTCTTGTAACGTGTGGTTTTAGAAGACATAGTCCAAGGAAATCAGTAGGAATAAGGAGGTGCAATCGCTAATGGAGATGACTTGTAATGCAAGGTGGCAGGCGTGAAGGTAACTAATAGCAAGGATGTGGCTCAGCGGTTTACTTGTATGGTGGAGGTGGTGGTGAGGAATACTTATATGGTGGAGGTGGTGGTGAGGAATACTTATATGGTGGGGGAGGTGGTGAAGTATACTTGTAAGGAGGTGGTGGAGGTGAAGAATACATGTATGGTGGAGGTGGTGGGGAGGAGTACTTGTAAGGTGGTGGTGGTGGTGATGAGTAGACATATGGCGGTGGCTTGTACACATAAGGAGGTGGTTTGTACACATATGGAGGTGGCTTGTACACATACGGCGGTGGTTTGTACACATAGGGTGGTGGCTTGTACACATACGGCGGTGGCTTGTACACATATGGTGGTGGCATGTACTCGTAGGGAGGTGGTTTGTACACATATGGTGGTGGCATGTACTCATAGGGCGGTGGTTTATACATATATGGTGGCGACATATACTCGTAAGGAGGAGGTTTGTGCATATATGGTGGTGATTTGTACTCATAGGGAGGAGGTGAGGGAGAGCTATATTCAGCAGGTGGCCCATCATCCTTAGCACTGACGCGAAGAGCCAATATGGAGACAAGTGCTAACAAATGCCATAGTGATGCTTTGAGGAGAGCCATGTCTCCTAAGTGATAGGAATAGTTATGAATTTTGATGAGCTACAAGTTTGCTTGATTTCCAGAAAGTTTTGGGGACTTAATGGAGTGCAAACTCAGTTGAGGTTCATCTGATGAGAAGATGATTGTTTTTACCCTCTTTATATACACAAATTTAGTGATGATTTGTCGATGTAGTCAGCTTCATGAATAGTGTAAAGTTTGACGTCCTACAAGTTCTACTGCGCATGCATGCATTATTCTTTTATTAAGGTTCACACGACAGGCATCGTTAGGTAAGATTGGAGGCAAGAATTAGTCAGTTTAATCAGCAATTAGACAAGAATATTCAACTTGGCAATTGGTTAATTCAATACATAAATTATTTTTACTCTGAATACTCTCTCAGCATAAATTAAATGTGTTAGAAGCGTTCTTCATTGTTCTTTACCAGCAAAACCTTTTTTGTGCAAGCAGTTTCTCTAAAATTCGTTTGAGAAAATTGATTGACATATGAGTACGTAAAACCTTTTAAGCGAAATCCTATTACATGAACACTTTGTAATTTAAATCTTAAATTTAAATATCTAAATGTTTTGTTCAAAAAAGTAGCTCTTAGTGCTATTAAAAATCAGAAAATACATTAAGCTTAGTAGGAATGGAGTTTTTTTTTGTCATAACTTTTTTCTTGTGATACAGCTGATTATCTGTCTACCGACAAGTGATGTATTTTGCACCAACATCTGCAATATGGCGGGCGGGGTTGGGGTGGGGTGGGGTGGGCAATTTATAACTCGAAGAGACTGATTCTACTTTCGAGACTTGGCCAGCCTTTGGTAAATAACTAACCCGGGCGACTTATTCTACCTTGATATGATCACTTGAGCTGTTTGAGGTGAACTTGGAAACTAACCCAAAAGTAAAGCCTATAAAAATTGAAAACTTATGCAAAACAAATGAAAGTCACGATTTCACTTGTCAGCAACTTATGAATCTTCACCCACCATGACATAGTTTCTTGGTGTCTGTAACCAACTGTACCATATTTTAAAGAATATTCAGTAATTTTCCCCAAGAATATATATTTTTTCTGAGCCTACAAACCACTACCCATTTGTCGTACTTCAAATGAATTTGAAGCAGTTTTGCTTGCAGATTCCCTGTGTAATTGGATCACTTCTTCTGGGATATGCATTCTCTTGTATATAGCATCAGTTTTCTGAATGTAAACTGGACTTACAATTATGCTGCAGAGTAAATTTTCATACAGTGTCGGTGTATTTCTTTTAACACTAGCAGACTTAAATCATTGTCACGTAATATGAATTCAAATTTGAAATTCAAATTATGCATATATAATATGTATCTATTCATAACTGATAGTGTAAAAAAATCACTCTATTATCAGTGCATAAAAAATTAATCGTATTGTATTAAATATTAACACGTACCTCAGAGATTTATTATTATTATTAAGAAGGCATTGACTATTTCGGATTGCGTCTTTCCTAGAAGGCGTAGAATTATCATGCATAGCATCGACTTTTTGGGAGAGAAATCACGTCAAAGCATCGAAATATTCTAGAAACTATTGCAGAAATGCTCATATTTCTTGAAAAAATTGATGTCAAGATTTAATGAAAGTTAAAAGATTGTTCATCCAGCTAAGTTTTTTAACTATTCTACCACAAAATTTTGACCTGAGGACCACGAAGGTTCAAAGAACTTTCTTCGTTTCTTTTTCTCACATAAAAAGGGTTATGGTCCCCTAGGGACTGTGGTTGCAAGGTCTGTGTCAATTGGCCGGCGAAGCCTTTGATTGGTCCACATATAGAACCCTTCATTTTTCAATCTTTAACGTGAGAGGAGCTCGAGCCAACATAAAATTTTTTTGCTATATCTATGCCAAGTTTCTATTTTTAATATGGGAGGCAGTGGTGGAGCCACATGTAGTTGAGAGAGTGCGATTGCATCCCCTCAATTTTGAGAAAATTATGATTTAAGTTTAGAAAATTCATCAATTTTTATAATTGTTTCTTATTTGCCTCCCAAACATTTTTAGAATTCTCTTTTCTATCATATATTGCCCTCCTAAATAATTGACAGTAGACAAGCATTATCCTTCACAAGAGCGAATTCAAAGATAATTTTCACTGCAAATTTTAAGCACAATTTATATGAATGCACAATTTAACATTGAAAAAATAAATTTTTAAGATAGACATGTTTATTGGTTTTAAACTCTACTACAATTCTTGTGTTATCGGAGTTTAACCCCCTTATTTTTAGAGTTCTGGCTCCACCACAGATGGAAAGTGTACTGATCAACTTTTCAACACAAAGAGATTAGCAACATATCAACTGAGTCATAATATTTAATCTACAGTAAAATCTAAACACCTCTAAGCCCAAAAAAAAAAAAAGAACCACCCAAATGTGAATGTGCATAATCCAATTCCGATATTCTTAAATTACCAAATTCTTCATGTTAATTTTCTGTAACTTCTAGACTATGGTCCTTGTGTTTAGTGAATATGTTGGCCCTTCTACGTTATTACAAGAAGTTATTCATCATGAGCTGGAATACGATCTAGTAATACTAGTGGAAGATGTGCAAGAGGGAAAAGGGAAAAGGGAAAAGTGGCGCTGAATTTTATCTCTTAGTAGACAAATATCCAAAATTGACTCTTTATATTAATTATCATCATAACCTAATTTACTTACTAGCTCCAGATTCAAACTCAATTCCGAGCCTCATATATTCAAGTTGAGTCAGGATTTGATTAAGTCAGAATTAAACTTAAAATCTCGGCTTCTTTGCATCCCTAGGGCCAATTGTGAAAGTATTTCAGCTTTCTATGCTATTTTAAAATTCTTAAAAATATAGGAGGGAATATTGAAGAACAAATCTTTGAAACCCTTCAACTCTGTTAACCTGTTTTCCTTTTTCTATTTTGGATTTTGATAAAACAACCTGATTGTACTCAAATTAACACGAGTGCCCAATTCATTAACACGAGTACCACTGGTGAAGTCTTGTATTGTTCCTATCAATACCTAATAAATTCCAATTAGGCTAAATTTATCCTTAAATGTGACCTAACAAATATTTCTTTTGGCTAAATTAATCCCCAAGACACCTCAAGTTTTCTGAAACGTACTACTTAGTCCTAGGGATGGCAATGGGGACGGGTGCCCGCGGGCAACCGCCCCGCGGGGGGCTCTCGGGGCGGGGGTTGGGGCGGGGGATGGGGTGGGGGCGGGGGGGTATTTTTTCCCCCCGTTTAGAAACGGGGCGGGGGGCGGGGGAGTATACCCCCGCCCCGCCACCAGCAAAAAAAAATTATATATATATAATTATATATAATATGTAATTTAATTAGTTATAAACTTATGATAATGATATTATTAGTTAGATGTATTATATAATGTATATTAGTGTATGTAATATAATTAATATTATCAATTATACGAATAATTAGACATGTCTACTAATCGAATTTATTAATTAGTTATACTAAATTTACTAATACATTTATACTAAATTTCTAATTACACTTAATAGAATAACACTTTTTTCTCAAAAAAAAAAGCACAAACACAATAATGAATTAGTGATTGTATTTGTAACAAAAGTGAAAACTTAACTATTTTAGTTGTATTTATTTCATCATGTTAGATTGTATTCAAATAATTTTTGTTTGATTGTTTTTATGAGTTTCAATTGTAAAATTAAAATGAATAATAACTTGATGATGTGTTGATATTTTAGTACTTGATTATTTATTAAAATTTAACTATAATAAAATTTTATTAACCCCGCGGGTGCCCCCGCGAGGGAAGCGGAGCGGGGCGGGGGGAGTGGGAGGCGGTGGACGGGCCGGGGGGCGGGGGGAGTTTGTAGGTAGCGGGGCGGGGGATGGGGGAGGGGTGCCATCCCTATTTAGTCCTCAAGCAATCAACAAAATTCTGTCTTATTGTGCGATTTAGGCCCTGTTTAAACGGACCCTAAATTATATAAAAAGCCTTTGACCTAGAAGCAACCGAAGCCCTTCCCACTTGTATCTCCATCAGTAATTATCAGATCCAAAGATAGATTCCCCAGCCCAAAACCCCATATACCAAAGGCCCATTCCAGTGAATGATTTCCTCCCCCCCCCCCCCGGGGGCCCCTTTTTTCGGTTACTCTTTCCTAAATACCCAGGGGTATAAAGCCTTGATTCACGAGATGACAAATAAATAAGAGAATCTCCAACGGTCGATTAATAAAACCACAATAATAAAATAATAATAACAATAAGACCCCTTCAACCCCCCCAACGGTCCACTTTTCAGACCGCATTCTCAAGCCAATTCTTCAGCCTTCACCTCACCGCTATAATCTGAGGCATTTTCACTTCACTATTCCATCACAATAAGCCAGTAAACAAGCCAAACTTCTTGAGAAAACTCGGAAAAATCGAAGCTTTGTGTAAAGATTTGAAGCTCCTTTCCTCCCTTTCTTGTAAAGGAAAATGGAGGTAGCAGTAATTGATTGGAAGAGCATAGATTCGAGGTTTGCCAAAGATGAGGTTTATGAGAATATCAATGCTCCTCAATGGGTTGATTTTTCTGCCCCTGATGCCTCCGTTGATGATGAGTCTTGGTTCTGTAGACCAGGTAATATCTGGGCAACAAATAAGTGTAATTTGGCTTTTTGGGTCATTGATTTTGGAGAAATTGTATGGGTTTTAGTTTCTTGATTTTGAGGTTTCTGGTGCTGATTGTTTGCAGATTGTAATCATCCAAAAAGGGTTGAAGATTTCTTCAAAGAAACAACTCCACATTTTAAGGTTTCTTTACTTCTCTGCCCTGTGCATTTTCTTGATTTCTATGCTGTATCTGGGTTCTTCTTTTATTTATTGTTCCTTTTTCTTTTTTCTTTTTTTTTTTTTTGGTAGGGGGGGAGGAACCCATTTGGTTTTCAGGCAAAATTAAGTAATAAAAGTAGTTATTTGCAGATTAATTACTGCGTTGAAGATTTATGAAGTGGGTTATTGCTCATTGCTTATGCAATTTTTTTTTTTTTTGGTGGCCTTTGGGTTTGTTGGGGGGGGGGGGTGGAGATTTCAATTAATTCC